AGACAGGGCAGGGCACCCAGGCTCTGTCTGCACACACAGACTGTAATGGAGTTCCTGTGGGCCCAGATGGTAGGTGAGAGTGGGGGATGGCCGCACCTCCATTCACCAAGCGGGTGTGGTGTATAAGAGTAACAAGAAGAATGTCGCACCTTTTCAGTCTTACAGGTCTGGAGTGTCCTTGGGGTTCCTGGGAAACAATGTGTTCTTAAGCCCCAGGAATCTGGGAGAGCACTGTCTCTTTAAATATCCAAAATAGTGAAGCCGCTTTTAAACATTCAAAATGGCAGCACCCTCTGGACTGGCAAAAGTCCACAGCTCAGCCTACCTTTCTTTTCACCTTCTCCGTTTAGTCCCCAGCCACCAGAGCAGTCCTCCATGCAGTCCCTGGATAGCAGGGCTGATTTTTAGGTTAATTCTTACGTCCTACCACCACTCAGGAATCTCCAACCTATCTGTGCTGTGCCATCAGGATTGCTCAGGTTTGCTGCCAGACCACAGCTCTCTGTCTCCTTTTTTGGTATTTTCATGCAAATTCTTCTGCTAGTTGCGGTTTAGTCCACTTTTATATCCTTCCCTTCAAGGTTCAGGGGTCCAGGATTATCTTCTGTGTCTGTGTTAACTGGTTTCCTTTTTCTTTGTTGAAGAGGGTCTGTGCAGTCTTTCTGCCTAGTCTACCATCTTACCAGAACTTGAATTTTGCTATACTTTTGAAAGTTCAATTTATCATTTGATTATGTTTGAGTTTATCTTGTTCAGTCAAAATTGTACTCATTTCCTTTCATATAACTACTGTATAAATAGAAGGATGTCTTGGTTGTGGCCTGAAACTCCCAAACATTAGAAAGCACAAATACTGACTCTTGGCCCTTGCCCTAGTTGATCCTGATATAGGTGATCTGAAAATTTTGCTTTCAAAAGCACTATATTTCCTTGATATCTTTAGTAACCGAAGCTCTTTTAAGCTGAGTGGCAAACTAAAACATATACTTGTGGAAAGCAGAAATGGGTTGAGCTCACAGAGCTGAAGCACCCTGTAGATGATACATGCATCATGACTAGGGTACGTGTCTATTTGTGTGTGTGTCAAACTGTACTAAGCCTAAACTTCCTGAGCAATATTGAATGTCATGACTGACCATATGCACTATCAAGCAGAGGTACCTTCAGGGCAACTGTAGGAGGTACAGACAAAGAATTATGAAAAACAGAACATCAGAATAAACTTAAATGTAGCTTGAATTCTATATAAATTGAGATACAAATTTCTAGTGCATACCTACTTTTTACCACTTGCACAAAGGTAGTTTTTCTTATTTTTTCCCCTCAATAATAAACTTAGCCAATTCTGTATTTATGAATTGGTGTTTTCCTTTGGAATTCCATTTCTTATTTCCTCAACAGGAGCAGTAACAATGGAGATTGAGCTAACTGCTGCCTTGTAGACATGAGGGACTAGTCTTGCCAGATAATCAGATTCTTCAAGGGATTCCAGAAATTTCCATTTCTAGGTTACACCTGCTGAATTTCAAATGTTGGCTACTATTTAAGTTTAAATAAAAAATGTTGCGCTGGTCAAAAAACCAAGTTTCAGGGTTTTTAATTAAATGGCTTACATATAATACTCTAGAGCAAAGAGTCACCTAGCACCATGAAGAGAATGTGTCAAACACGGACCAATCAGTTTCAATATTTTACCAGCTACCACTTTGTCATCTCTGGTAACAGTGAGCTTTTCTTCAACACAATGAACTGAGAGAAGAGGACAAGGACAAATTTGACCCCTACCTTTGTTATATATGGACAAAAAGGAGCTCTTTTGTAAAATACTTATACATTAGCCAGTTTAAGTATGAACTATAATGGCATCAAATTATTGAAAGACTAAAACATATATAAACACATCAGTTTAATAGCAAAACTAAGTGGACATGCTTAAAATATTTTTTACCTTTTATTTTCAGAGTTTGCTCTGATTATGCCACTTACTTTGTCTAAAAGGATAGAACACAAATAGCAATATGTTGCAGCAAAATATATCCAGAACGTAAAGAATTAATTTTAATTATAGTGATGATAGGAGATAACATATTTTTAAAAATAAAAAGAAAGAAAGAAAGAAAATCAAGCAAATATAAAAACAATACATGAAGCCAGGGAGACACTGAGAGTCTGCTGTAACAAGAGTGTACTGGGCCAAGTGTGGCGCCAGAGCTTCTAGGTACCTGCAGCCTCGGTGGAGGTCTCCCAACGGTACTGAGGCGTGGAGTACGTGTCAGCCTTGGCTGGGCCATTCTCCCTTGGGAGCCGTGGGTGGATGGCGTGGTAGTCCATCGGCTTGCCATTCACAGTCACCAGCAGACCCTGCTTGGAGCCAAACAAAGTACACCTGTGAGAGCAGCTCTGGTCTCAATGCAAACTACCTTTCCTTCCCATACTCCACTCATAACTCAACAATGTGTCCATGGCTGCAAACTGTTCAGCTCAATTACCCACATATTTTACAAGGATTGTACACATTCCCTCTCCACATCTATGTTCCACAGAGTAATGCATGTGGTGTCAATCTGACCTTGTCATACTTCTACTGAAAACTATGTGATAAGCCCTCCTCTCAGTGCAAAGTGCAAGCTCCTTTAAAGGCTGGCAGAGGCCTTCGTGGTCTGGTTCTGGTGTCCTTAGGCCTCAGTCCTTTCCACTGTCCTCCTCCCAGTATTCCCTCCAGCTGTGTGGCAATTCCAGCCCCTTCCTAGCCCAACCCTTACCTGCCCCAACCCATCTGGTCTGCACAGGACCAATGCAAGCATACTTTGGTTCCCCTGGGGACCTCTGCCTGCCTCTGCAAGGTTGATTCCTTAAGCATTTAGGACCTGAAGTGCAATGTCCTTTTTCTTTTCCCCCTGTCTCATTGCCATTTATATTTATACACATACAGACATAAACATACACAAGTATGTGTGTGTGTGTGTGTATACACACACACACATATACTATAGATATAGATAGATGGATAGATATATGGGGTCCATAGACATACAAGACTTCCTATTCAAATTATGTAATATGCATATCTGCAGAGCGAAGAAAAATGCTTAACAAAATTCACCAATGTGACTTATAAAAATTTAAATATATTTTGTATCAGTAAACTCAATATTGGATTATATGAATCAGTGTTTTAACAGCAATAAACAAGATACAATTTATGCAAATAAATTCCAAAAACTTATGAAAATGTATAGATCATTAAAATACACTCAAATGAGCTACTTCTACTTCTGTCACTTTTATATCACTTACACAAGCATAAATGATAATCTAATGATATACTAACATCAGATGGTTTGTAGTCATCTTGGGTCATGGATAAAAGCTGTAAAAAGCAACGCAGGATAGTATGTTAATATGTCAGCAGAAAGCATTATAACATCTACTTACATGTATAAAGTTTTAGTATACACATACCTAGTCTCTTAAAATGGCTGGTTCTAGTATGTTAAAAATTGCCATGCAAAATATAAAGGGACAAATAATTAAGCTGAATATAAAATGTTGTTATTTATTATAACCATTTCCAGCTTCAGAGTTAAATAACAGTAAATAAGAAGCCATATACCACATGACTACAAAAGCTGATGACATTTTTTATAAGTTGATGACATTTTTTAGTAGTTTTGTTTTAATAGAATAATCTGCTTGGCTTTGCACTCCTAGACCTTTTGAAACATCTGCAGAAATTTGCAAGTATTTAGTTTTCAAGAAATAAAAGTCCATAATAAAAGAGATTCATTTGCAGTGAAGTTTGAGATAAATTTTTGATATTTCCAAACTATCTGCAACAAAATAATGACTGTGCTATTTAATTATGTTACTGCTAGGGAGTTTGGAATTCTCTCAAATAATAAGTATTTGCTATGCCAATGGTTCTCCAACTTTTGGGTCTCAGGACAACTTTGCATCCTTAAAAATCATTGAGGGTCCCAAAGAGCTTTTGTTTATGTGGGTTTTAACTGTCAATATCTACCATACTAGAAATTAATACTAAGACATTTAAAATATTAATTCATTAAAAATAACAATAATATCATGTGTTAACATAAATAAATGCATTCCATTTTCCCAAAAGAAAACAAACAAACAAACAGTGAAAAGAGTGGCAATGTTTTACCCTTTTATAACTCTCTTCAATGTGTGGTTTTATAGAAGACAGTGGATTCTCATGTCTGTTTCTGCATTCACTCTGTTTTGGTTAAAGGATCTGAAGAAAATCTGGGTTCACAAAGATATGCAGTTGGAAAAGGAAGGGATATTTTAATAGCCTAGTCTCTTATTTGTAGACGGTGTTCTTTGACACCAATACTCAACCAGGGGCAGTTTCTTGCAGGTTAATTGCAACATGGAATCTGAAACTAAAATATGCTAGTTCAGCTACTGCAGTTGAGTGAATTGCTTGGTATGGCCCTTCTAGCCACCAGATGACTTGGTGGGACTATGCAAATGTGAGGTGTCAAACAAGGGGATTGGATAGCTTGTTAATAATGCAAATAAGGTACATGGCACCCTTTTTGGGGTGGGACCATTCAAAAAATATAATGAACCCTAATGTGGAGATTGGTTAGTTTTGCCATCCTATTAGATGAGTCACCCCCAAGGTGAAAAGGAAGGATCTCACTATCATCAAGAAAGAAGACACAGGAGTGGAGCATATCCTTTGGATTCGAGATCCCTATACTGACCTCCTCAATCCAGGAGCCAGAGACAGTGAGAAGCAGTAGCAGAGAAATGGTGGCAGCAGAGGTCACAGAACCAAGAAGCCAGTACAAGACAGAGTGATGGCCTTCCTGGCCCACAGCCCATGGAGTGAGAAAGCTTCTGGCCAAGGCCTTCTGGTGGTGTGGAGTGCCTATGGGTATTTACCAGCAGAGCTAAAAGAGCTTTCTACCACTTTCAGGGCAGAGGCCAGGATGAGAGCCTGAGAGAGAGAGACCTGCCTTTGGACATGGCTGAGGAGTGGCAGTCCTGATCACAGAACTGTTTCTTGAGTGAATTGTAACCTGTTATTTCCCTAATAAACCCCATAATTGTGAGTATTGTCTGCGAGTTTTGTGTGGCCTTGCAATGAATTATAGAAGCCAGCAGAGAAGTGTAGAGTACCATTGGAGGAACAGTTGGTGTCAGAATTAGTAAATGAGGTTGGAAGGTGGAGGCCTGTCTGAATTCCACCTCATAGGAATCAGCTTTGGGCTATCGATCTCCACCCTTCTTCTCCTTTGTGAAGTCAGAGGAAATCAGACACCACTCCCATACCATTTCTGCTGCTACACTTCCCGTAACTGATCGAGCACTTTTCACTGATATAGTCATGACTTCAGTGAGCAGTGCTTTATACATATTTCCTTTTTCAGATTATATTATACACAATATTAAAAAGACATGAACTCCAAGGTAGAAATTTAATAAATTAATAGCCATTTCATATATAATAGCCAATATCCCCATAGGGATATTGAGTGATGCTACCTTTGTTTCTTTGTTTTTTTCCCACACATGCTCAGCAGTGAATAATATCATAGCTACCAGTACAGTGTGGAGCCACTGTCTTGATTTGTGCTAAGGCACCAGCAGTTTTACCCATCTTTTAAATTTTTTTCTTTACCATCAATGCAAATGTCAATATAGTGGAAAATGGTAAATGACATCTTAGTATTATTATGAAAATAGCTTGGGGATTGTGGACCCCAGCAAGGGTCTCAGGAAGCCCCAGAGGTCCACGGAGCACAATTTGAAACTGCTGCACTACTCTCGGTCCACAGTTGTCATTTAGTGAAATAGGTAATTGAATCTGACACAAGGTGAGATGAGAGAGACCAGGGATCTTGGGTCTCTCAGCCCCCTTAGGGCACTATCTCTGCCCTAGGTCAATGCCAGCTCCATAATGCAGCTCACTCACTGTTCTCCCTTCCCTGGGCACAGGCTAGTCCTGTTTGGAAGGAGAGTGTTCATCTTAAAGAAACTTACCTGTCACCAAATAAATCAGACTCTTCACAGTTCTCTAATATATTGGGAAGCAAATGCTGATCCCTTCCAAGAATTATGTGTGTTTTGTCTTTACAAAATAACAAACAGGCTACTTTAACAAATCAACATAGCACGGGCTAATTTGAATTCAAAATGATCAATAAATGATCAAAAGATAAATCACTCAACTGTGACTCACTTTTCCTTGTCAATTGTTGCCTCAAAGTAGAAAGAGATATTTAAGCATATTCATATATGTTTCAATTTTCTGTAGTCGTTACTTGAGTTATTATTGTAACTGGATAGAGTGAAATTATTTTTTGCTGTATTTCAACACTGACACATTTACCACCCAGTGGTAATAGATCCCTTCAAGCTATTTTGTTGTTGTTGTTTTAAATACAAACGATTATTTTTTTAAAACTAAAAAAATCCATTTTTTTTTTTTTTTTTAGGGTAAAGAGAACTGGGTAGCAAGCACTGGAATATAAAATTGTGTTCTCATAGGAGATGATGGAACCATGGTATTTCCTCTAGAAGCACTGGATTCCTCCCTCTCCGTGGTATTAAGACTTCCAATTCAAACTAGTTATATAAACTGTGAGTTACCTGAGTTTGTATATGATATTATATAATTCATAATAAACAACACAAATGTTAGTAAATTGAAAAATGAATTAAGAAATGGAAACTCCTTTCTTTGTGCCTTACTTTTCGCTCATCAGTTGGGTAATGGGTTGCATACCACAGGCTTCTCCGTCTCTCGGCCGTGATTTGGATGGGGCTACAAGCCAAGGTTCTGTCCTCTTCCTTGGTCCCCTCATCCTGCACCTGAAACAGAATAACCCACAGGACCAGCTCTGCTTTCCACAGTTGTTCTATTAGCAGCCTAAGTGGCCAAGATAAAATTTTTCATCTTTACTTCACTGTGATCATTTCTTCAGGCTATATAATATGTGAGATTTTATCAAGACACTTTAAAAATGACAAAAATGCTGCCTGCACTTGTAAGAACATCAATATTAACTATCCACTAATTCTTATTAAACCCCATAAATTCCACAAATATGTTCTAATGTTAAACACCCACAGCCTCTCCAAGGGTATTCTAAACAGTACTAGAAAACAGGTAAGTATGCTTGTTTTGGTTTAGTACATACCTATTTTTGTATATTCATATACCAAACCAAATCAAACTCACTGAGATCGAGTCAATTCCAACTCACAGGGACCCTCATTGGGTTTCCTAGGCTGTAAACCTTTATGGACGTAGACTGCCCCATCTTTCATCTGCAGGGTGGCTGGTGGGTTTTAACCACTGACCTTCTGTTCAGCAGGCAAATATCTTAACCACTACACCACCAGAGCTTCTATATACATACATGTATTCTTATATATGTTTGTGGAGGAAGAGAACACAATTAACATTCTAAAGGTTTTTGCTGGCACACTCAAATTTTAGAGAATTGGAGAACAACGTAACAAAAGATGATCAGGACCCTTCTGACCCTCTAAAGCATCTTTTTATTCTGCAACTCCAATCAGTACATGATAAAAGAGGAAGGATACAGGAGGACCCTGCTCACAAGGCTGACTCTGTGCTCCTGGCCTTTCTGATGGTCGATAGCACAGTGGGCCTGTTGTGGTGATGGAGGAGGTATTACACAGCAGGGAACTGAGTGTAGAGCCCATTTCTGCAGCTGCCCTGTGAGAGTGGAGGGAGACTAGCATCGGGCCCAGTTATGCTGTCTCTGGCTTTCTCCCATTACTTCCTTGGGCCTGGTCTATCTCTTGTAGAAGGAACATTCCTGAGAGGAGGGGCCTTCCTGAGTGGTCATTGCTCTGTCCCAAACTGACAGCTGGCCATCAGTAAATGCCTGCAGATTGACTTAATGAATGAGTATGTGGATATCATCAGCAGGTATGAAAGCAGAAAAGGGAAAAGGAGGAAACTGCTGTAAGGCTTTGAGTTAGAGGTTTTGACCAGAGGAGACATGACTGGGGGTCTTCAGCCCAGCCCTGCATATAGAACTGGTATCTAACTTGCAGACTTCTCCCCTGTAGGTTGTAGATGAAAAGGTGGGGCAATTTTTGCCTGTAACACTGGCCTCACTCATGGGCCAATGCACTATCTTACAATTGGCATTTAGGGGAGGAAATAAAAGCTGACTGAAGTTTTCTGTCACTGAAATAAAACAAAACAAAAACAAAAAAATAGAGAAAAGAAAATTAAGAAGGCTGGTAGCCTCCATGGTCCTATTTTCAAGTGTCACACCTTTGTTTGAAGTAGAATAAACTCAACCAATGCATGGTGGAAAAGGGAGAGTCCACCCTGCCCTCATCAGCATCTTTATCCTCTTGATGAAATACTCTGAAAACTTAAGGAGCCACAGACAGCTGGGCTAACATCCTTGGAGGCTCAAAGTTAGTTTGAAAAACTCCAATCACTGCAGTCTTTGAGACCCTCCTTTGTTGTGAAAGGTTGTTGGATTCTACCATTCAGTAAGTGTGATTTCAGAAAAATTACTTATTTCTACTCTGTTTCCTCATCTGTGAGATGAGACTAACAATACTTATTCCTCAGAGATACTTAGAGGACTAAATAAGACAATGTAGGTTAACAGCCTGGCTTGATGCCTGGAACTTAACCGCTCAGTAAAATGAATCTTCCGTACTCCTCACCACCCACTGCTCTTAGCCACACACAGTGACACCATCAGAGAAGTAAGTCTTAATTCTTATAGCACTGTGTTCAATTAATGGTCTTTCCAGAATTAAAACACTATAACCTGAATACTACATTTACATTTTGATGTAGTAATGATTAGTTAGCTTCTCTCTGACAATTAATAGAAATGAATCATTTCATATGGAGATTTCAGGTTAGTCACATCATGACCCAATATTCCTGGTTACAATATCATGACCCAGTATTCATTCTTACTAGGGGCTCTTGTAGCCAGATACGGATGAGGGTGGCCAGAGTATAGTACATCACCAAGAGAAGGATGGGGTTGGCATGGTGGTACCAAGACAGGTCAGGGTTTACTATGATCTTCCAAGTACTGGAGCAGTCTGTCTGAATGACTGATTTGATACCAAATAACCTGTATGAAAATAAAGAAAAAATATTAAAATGATGCAAAAACTCTCTACCTCAAACATAGACTGGAACAAATCACTTTGTTTTTAATACATTCATGAGCTCTTTCTAGGTTAATCCACTCAGAAATGATTCAAGATATTTCAATTACTCTTCAATTATTCTTCTGTATGTGTGTGTGTATACATATACATACATATATACATACACACACACATATGTATGTATTGATTAGAGGACAGTGAGTTTTTTGTGTGTGTATATATATATATATATATATATATAGACCCTTTAGTCAATTCTAACTCTTGTTGTTGTTATTACATGCCGTTGAGTAGGCCCTGGCTCATAGTGACACCTCCTTGGGTTTCTGAGGCAGTATCACTACGGAAGTAGGATTGCCCAACCTTCCTTCCGAGGAGTGACTGGTGGGTTTGAACTGCCAGCATTCTGGTTAGCAGTCAAGTGCCTTAGGCACTATGCTACCAGAGCTAGAGACCCCTATTGGGTTTCTGAGGTGGTAAATTTTTACCTAAGTAGATTGCCCCTTCTTCCTTCCTGGAGTAGCTGGTGGCTTTGAATTGCCAACCTTCAAATGCCTTAGGCATTAGCAGTCAAATGCCTTAGGCACTACACCACCAGAGCTCCATTCTTGTGTATATATTAAATTATATACTTGCAATTATATATATATGTAATTATATGTACTATAAATACATCCTCAAATATAGATAGATTATGTGTATATGTGTGTATGTATGATTGATGCCAATGTTAGCCAGATAATCTTTAGATTGGTTCAAAATCTAGGAATATTAAATTCTGCATACCTTTTAGAAATTTACATTTTAACAGACAATCAGCCTTAGTAAAACTTTGCATTATTGAAAAACATCAACTGTACGAGTGACATGTTACTAAGTCCAGCTAAATGAGCATATATTTTCTTTTTGGCAGGATTTAACATTACCTTCTCAGCTAGTGTTAATATTATTGTGTAAATACTGAAACTGGACAGAGAACTACAATTTAGCCATAACAGCCAAATATTACAAATTAGAATTTCCATAAGATATATTTCTGTCAGAATTTTATTTAGGAGGGACAGGAAGATGGCGTCTTACCTGTAGCCCACATGTTATTTCCCTCTAGCATCTTAGTGCCTGAAAAACTAGGTGCAGCAGTTTGAAGCAGGGATTCTGGCACTTTGAACAGCTCATTAAGTCAGAGAATGCAAACTCAGGAGAGTAGGAGTAGAAAGTAGGCAGAGGCAGTGTAACTAGCCAGAAAGAATAAAAATAAGGGAACATGCCCATGGAGAACAAACTGGCCAGCAATACAGGGCATTGGAGGGCTCCCTGGGGCAGTGGAGAGAATGCACTGGAGGACTTTTAGCCACTCCACAGATCTACCTTCAGTACCTGCTTTTACCAGTAAAC